GGCGGCGCCCAGCTCCTGCACTCGCAGCGCAGTCAGCACCGGGCCCCGGAGAGAGGCGTGACCCGGGAGTGCTTCTTCGCCCGCGCGCTCTCCTCCGCAGCCTTTACAAGTGCCCTACACCGCCGCCTCTGCCCGGTACCCTGGCAGGGCAGGATGGTTCACTCTCACTTGAATTACGGATGCCTGTGAAAGCAGGCTGTTCAAAATCGTCATCCGTAGAAATACTCGACCCCCTGCCCCAGGAGAGTACGAGTTTTTAGAGGAGAAAAATGACAAACGCGAACGTTGTTGGTCTTAAGAAAGTTCATCAATGTGTTGCTTCTTTTGGGGGGCTCTGGGTGCAGTATACATGACTTCACTTGGGTTAACTGATTCCAGCTGAAGAGTTAGCAGAGCGCTTTAAGTTTTATTAGGAACTTTAGGGAACACTTTTTCCCTTTGGCTCCGTTTTGGAATTTCCTTGCAGCTGCTCAGAAATTCCATGGATATTCACATTTATATGACTGTGAAGAAACCTTTATGATTCTTTGCCCACTCTTCTAACCATAGGCTACACGGTTTGTGTTGCTAACAAAAGCTACCTATTACTCCTCTGCTATTTTGCTATGACAGTTGCAGGACCCACAGTCAACTTTATGAAATGTGGGGGTTGGTTTTTATTCTGAATTCATGGTGGGAAGTGCTGATTGAGAGACGGCCTCGATTCCTGGCTGTTATTAATTGCTGAGGCCTTGCGTAACTGTCCCCAAACCTCAATTTCTTCTGTGTGAAAATGGGACAACATCAGCTGCCTTGAGCATTGCATGGGATTATTGTGAAAATCAAGCTGAAGTATGTAGGGAAGTAAATTGTGAAAATCAAGCTGAAGTATGTAGGGAAGTAAATTGAAAACCACAAGGAAACAGAATCATTTTTATTGTATTATATGGAAATCACAGATTTCTATGTATACTGCACCCTAAAATATATCCCTTTACATATGATTGAACAATGCTTTGTAGAAAAATTTCTAATTTTTGAAGTCTCCTTTCATTTTGTATGCATTTCCATTTTCACCGTATTTGGGATATCATGGAGATGCTATAATACTTTGAGGAATCAATCAATCTTCCTAGACTTAAGAGATGGTGTCATATACTTAGTACTTAAAAAGAAGCCTAAGGTTCAAAGAATAAGTATCCCAAGCCACATGATGTTTGCATCTGAAGATAAAATTTTGCATCTTGTAACACTGTTTGAGTCTATAATAACACTATATTGATGATAACTTAGTCTCTTGAGTCACCTTTTTAAAATTTTGTTAATGGAAGACCTTAGCTTTTACAACCCGATCACTTAAATTGTTTAGTATCAATATCTTAGGGTGTTTCACACACGACGAGGTAGTCAGTAATCGTATATGGAATCTGTGTGTAACTCTAGTGTAAAACCATTTCTACATGCCTACCAATCTTTACAGGTTTTCCAATTGCAAAATTCAGTTTTTAAATTTTTCTTGCTCATTTACTTATCCATCCACAACAGATATCAGCAAAGGTCTACTTTTGGAGCAAGCTGTCCAGTCTTTGAGACCTGCAGTCAGCTGGTCAAACAGCATTCTGTGTGATGATGCTACTCTCAGCATTTGACATGGAAGTGTCCTAGGACTTACTTCCACAAGTAGGACTAGTATGGACTTTTTTTTTTTTTTTAAATCGCATTAATTGGGGTCTTTTGCATCTATTGAATTGGAAAGAATTCTTACTTCGTATCTTTTGATGGAACACTGTGAGACATTAACATGCGAATGTTACCAAACAGACCTGGTTTGTGATTCATACCTGTTATCTTGGCACTTTGGGAGGCTGAGGCGGTTCCATTGCTTGAGCCCAGGAGTTTGAGACCAGCCTGGGCAACATGATGAAACCCCATCTCTACAAAAGATACAAAAATTAGCTGGGTATGGTAGCATGTGTCTATAGTCCCAGCTACTTGGGAGGCTGACGTGGGAGATTCAGCTGAACCAGGGAAAGTTAAGGCTTCAGTGAGCCGTGATTGTGCCACTGCACTCCAGCTTGGGTGACACGGTGAGACCCTTTATTGTTGAAATTGCTATTTAGCGACTGAACATAAAGTGCAAACTCATATTCTTCTTTCCCTTCCGTACTTCAATACCTTTTTTCCCCAACCCCCTCTCTCCCCAGAACTTCCCCCAAACAATGGGCTTCTGAAGGGAAAAGGCCCCAAAAACAACCTGACAATTGTCAAAGAGCTCTGGGACATGTCTTCTAGAGAGGAGCTGCAATTACAGAATTCCTTTTTTTCAGACTAAACCTCAGCACACTTTTCATAAAGCTGCAGAAATGGACTGAACTAATTGCACCCTGGGGTTGGGATTGGGAGAGGCCCACTACTGTGACCCTCAGCTACACTGTTTTAATTTAGCAGGATAAATAGAAAAGTTGCCTTGCCTTGCAGAGGCAACTATGTTGCAGTGGCAATGTAATTTTTACATTATTCTGCAGTTTTCTCAGATAAACTAAAATGATGTAGATGTGTGAGAGTGGATGAAGAAGTGAGGATGCTGTCCTTCCCTGGCTTCTCCCCAGTGTGGTGTTTGATCTTAGGAGAGGGCTACCAAGCTCTGTTTTAGAGGCTTTTGGCCCTGGGCCCTGGAATGCTTATGCCTAGGTACTGAGCCAAACTGAGGAAAACAGCAAGAGGGAAAAACAAGTATTATTCTCTACATGCGTCAGTAGGTATGTTAAATATTAGATGCCTTTCCTTGCTTGTAAATGAAGTTTTGAACTGAAGTGTAGACTTCCACCGAGATGTATTGACTTGGCGATGTATTTAAATATCCCTTTTGTTTCTTGGCGTGGTTTTACAGGGTCATGTAATTCTCAACTACATTGCAATACGTTTCTCCGGTTAGCTCCTCAAAAACATTTTTTTTGTGTGTTTGTGACCTTCTGCTATGCTCATGAATACATATATCTCTGTATCTGTGTATGTGTAAAGGGCTTGTGTGTGGGTGGTGGTCACTGAAGACTACTTTCATGTTTCAGTAAAAGAGTTCTTCCTCTTCTTCTTCTTCTTTTTTTTTTAAATAAAAGTAGAGAGTCTGGCCCAAGTTTGAGGACTGCAACCCAGGAGCGTAGATTCAAGTTGCCCTGAGTATATGCTCCTATTAGCAGCAGTTACAGATGGTTTTTTAAAGGAAAAGAGAAGAGGCAGTTCCTAAGTTGTTTATCAAGCATTTATGTTACAATAACAAGCTATTGGTTGGCTATACATTGTTCTTTGTATCACAGATTCCAGGAACACTAGACAGTGGGTGAAGCAGCTGTCAGGAATAAAATGCTTTTAAATAATTGCCCCTGGGAATGGCTGCAGTGAGATGTGACAGAAGTCCCATGCTTGTGTCCGTCTGGGCCTGATACATTTTGCATAGTTCACATATCTCAGATGGCTCTGAGCAATTTTTCTTTCTCATCTCCTCCTTTTAATAAAAATCTTTCTCTTCTGAAAATACTGATCAGCATTTTGGATGTAAGTGTGTCCCACATGGCCGGGAAGGCTCATTTCTGAATAATCTTGTCCCATGTCAGAGGGAATGGGATGGGCAGAAGTATATAACTTAAGAACGTAGTGAGGCTCCAAGGCTAAATTGGTCGGCAACAATTCAGGGATTGGATTGAACAATAAGGGGACAGAGCAGTGGGGTCTCAGGCCATTCACTTACACTGGAGTTGAGGCGTGTTGGGTCATTTCTAAGCATCTAGCTATTGTGATAAGTTTTGTGTTATAGAATTTTGTGGTAGACTTTAGACATCTTGAAATACAAAGCGTAATCAATTTAAGAATCAAAAAGATGACACAAATAAGGACAATTATCAACAAAACAACTTGAAATACAAATATGAAAAGTGTTTCTATTCCCAAAGGTAACCAAATGAATATTTTAATCCACTTCTTGTCGGGGTCTAAAGAACAAAGTGTTGAAGATCTCCACTGAGAAAGATGTCCACTTAGGAAGGGCAGCCTGATATTGGCCCTTCTAACATGGCTGGAGGGAGTCCTTTATTTGATGGCATTTTCCATTAAACAAAATCTCCAGGTTGGAGACCATGATCTTTGATGTTTTTCTCTCCTGAGAGCTTGCTGTTAAAAGAATCCTTAATTAATTTAGAATTTTCAGTGAGAAACTTATAAGGCCTTGGCAATAATGAAGAGTTATCACCTTGTTAATGGAAAAACCAAACTCTGTAAAATATTTTAAAGAGGTTTATCCTGAGCCCAGATGAGTGACTGTGGCTCAGGGAAACACTTTCTCGAGGAGTCCTGAGAACGTGCACCAGAGGCAGTTGGATTACTGTTCGTTTTTATATATTTTGGGGAGGCAGGAGTTACTGGCAGAGACATAAATCAGTACGTGAAAGGTATACATTGATTCCATATGAAAAGGTGGGATGTCTTAGAGCAAGGGCTTACAGGTTATTTATTCAGCGTGTTCAGAGATACTTTTTTTTTTTTTTTTTTTTTGAGACAGAGTCGTGCTCTGTTGCCCACGCTGGAGTGCAATAGCATGATCTCAGCCCACTGCAACCTCCCCCTCCTGGGTTCAAGTGATTCTCCTGTCTCAGCCTCCCAAGTAGCTGGGATTACATGCACACACTGCCATTCCTGGCTAATTTTTTGTATTTTAGTAGAGACAGGGTTTCACTGTGTTGCCTAGGCTGGTCTTGAACTCCTGAGCTCAGGCAATCCACCCCTGTTAGCCTCCCAAAGTGCTGTTATTATAGGTGTGAGCCACTGTGCCTGGTAATTCAGAGATTCTTTAATTTTCAGTTGATTCAAGGAGTAAGACTGTCTGAAACTTGGTATCAACAGAAAGGGATGTTATGGTCATGTGTGATGGCTCAAGCCTGTAATCCTAGCACTTTGGGAGGCTGAGGCGGGCGGGATCATTTGAGGTCAGGTGTTCAAGACCAGAATGACCAACATGGTGAAACCCCATCTCTACTAAAAATACAAAAAACTAGCAGGGCATCGTATTACGTGCCTGTAGTCCCAACCACTTGGGAGGCTGAGGCAGGAGAATCGCTTGAGCCCGGGAGGCTGAGGTTGCAGTGAGCAGAGATTGCACCATTGCA